GTTGTCTTTTCACTTTCTTGATAGTGTCCTTTGACACACAAAAGTTTTGAATTTTGATGAAGTCCAATTTATTTTTACTTTGATTGCTTGTGCTTTAGGTGTCCTATCTGAGAAACTGTTGCCTCATCCATGGTAATGCAAATTTTTACTGTTTCTTTCTGGGAGTTTTATAGTTTGAGCTCTTACATTTAGGTCAAAGACCTAATTGAGTTTATTTTTGTACACATTGTGTGAGGGTAGGGGCATGTGGATATTCCGTCTTCCTAGCACTATTTATTGAAAAGCTATTCTTTTCCCCATTGAATGCCCTTGGTACCCTTGTTCAAAATCAATTGACTATAAATTCATGGATTTTATTTCTGGACTCTCAAATCGATTCCATTTATGTGTAGGTCTGTCCTATTACTGTCAGTTTGAAATCAGGAAGTGTGAGTCCTCCAACTTCGTTGTTCTTTTTTGAGATTGCTTCTTCTATTCTATATCCCTTCAATTCCATATGAATTTTAGGATCATTTCGTCCATTTCTGAAAAAGAGACATTTGGAATTTTGATAGGGATTACACGGCAGAACACTTTGGGGAATTTGCTATCTTAAAATTAATAATTCTTCCAAGCCATGAACACAGGATGTATTTGTATTTATTTTAATTTTTTCATTTTTTTCAACAGTGTTTTGTAGGTTTCAGTATACAAGTCTTATACTGTTTTGGTTAAATTTATTCCTGTGTATTATATTCTTTTTGATGCTAATGTGAGTGTTTTTATAATTTCACCTTAGATTGGCCATTGCTAGTATATAGAAATACAACTGATTTTTGAATATTAATTATTGTGCAGCTTTGCTCATCTTGTTTATTAGGTCTAATATTTTTTTATAGATTATTTAGGATATTCTGTACATCAGATTATGTCATCTGCAAATAGAGATGCCTTTTATTTCTTTTCCTTTCTTATTGCCCTAGCTAGAACCTCCAGAACAGTGTTGAATAGCAGTGGCAGAAATAGACACCATTGCCTCCTTCTTGATCTTAGGGGAAAGCATCCAGTCTTTTACCATTAAATGTGGTTTTGGCTGTGGGTTTGTCCTAGATGCCCTTTATCAGATTGAGAAAGTGCCCTTCTATTCCTAATTTGTTGAGTGTTTTTATCATGAAAGGATGCTGGACTTTTGTCAAATGCTTTTCTGCATCTATTGAGATGATCATGTGTGTTTTTTATTAATATGGTGTATTACATCGATTGGTTTTTTATTGAACCAACCTTGCTTTCATGGGATAAGTCCTGCTTGGTCATAATATATACTTTTTTTTATTTGCCTCTGGTTTCGGTTTGCCAGTATGTTGAGGATTTTTACATCTGTATTCATAAGGGGTATATGGTCTGTGGTTTTCTTTTCTTGTGATGTATTTGTCTGGTTCTGGTGTCAGAGTAATGCTGGGCTCTCAGAATGAATTAGGAAGTGTTCCCTATTTTTTGAGAGAATTTGAGAAGGATTGGTGTCAATTCTTCTTTAAATGTTATTAGAATTTACCAGCAAAGTTCTCTGGTCCTGGGCTTTTCTTTGTTAGAAGTTTTTTGAATATTTATCCAATCTCTTTACTTTCTATCGGTGTATTCCAGTTCTCCATTTCTTCATGATTCAATCCTCGTAGGTTGTATATTTCTGGGAATTTGTCCATTTCATCTAGGTTATCTAGTTTGTTGGCATACAACTGTTCATAGTATCCCCTTACAATCCTGTTTCACTCTCCAAGGTCAGTTGTGATGTCTCCCAGTTCATTACTGATTTTAGTAATTTGAACCTTTCTTTCTTTCTTAGTCAGTCTAGCTAAAGTTTTGTCGATTTTCTTTTCAAAGAACCAACTTTTAGATTGTTAATCTTCTCTATTTTCTTATTCTTTATTTTATTTGTTTTCTCTTTAATGTTAATATTATTTCTTTCCTTTGGATTTAGTTTGCTCTTTTTCTAGTTTCTTATAGTGGAAGGTTAGGTTATTGATTTGAGAGCTTTCTTCTTTTTTTAATCTAAGTATTTAAATTTCCCTCTGAGTACTGATTTCTCTGCATCCCTTAAGTTTTGATATATGTTGTGTTTCATTTTTGGTTCTCTTCAATGTATTTTGCAATTTCCCTTTTGATTGGTTATTTAGGAATGTGTTGTTTAATTTCCACATATTTTTGTATTTTCCAAATGTCCTTCTGTTATTGTTAACTTTCTTCCATTGTGATCAGAGAACATTCTTTATGTTTTCTGTCTTTTTAATTTACTGGGATTTGTTTTATGATCTAATGTATCTCCTATCCTGGCAAATGTCACTTGTGCACTTGAGAAGAATGTGTATCCTGCTCCTGTTGGGTGGAGGGTTCTGTGGATGTCTGTTAGGTCTAGTTGGTATAGAGTGTTATTCAAGTCTGTTGTTTCCTTGCTGGTTTTCTGTCTGGTTGGTCTGCCCGTTGAAAGTGGGGCACTGATATTTCCAGCTATTATAGTTGAATTTTCTATTTCTCCCTTTAATTCTGCCAATGTTTGCCCTTGTATTTTGGGGCTATCTTGGTAGATGTATGTTTGTGTGTGTGTGTGTGTGTGTGTATAATTGTTATATATCCTCTTTTTTTCAGTACCAGTAAGTCTTTATTTATCATTATGTTTTCTTGGGGAAAAGAGGAGGAAGGGGAAAGGATCGGCATATAGCAAAAGTAAAGCAGAAAAGAAAGGAAGTACCCAGTACAACACAATCAGCCCTCAAGTAAACACGCCCTCGTGATAGGGTCAGCGAAGCCAAGGGAGCTCAGGCTTCTCAGTTCAGGAAGGAGAGGAGGGGTCAGGGAAGGGACAGACAGGTGCATGCTGTCCTCCCCTCCCCATAAATTCAGGATTTTGCACAAAGCTTTGATTTCTAGCAGTAAACATGGAGTTAAAATTTGTCCGTCTCCTATTAAACATAGGTTTTGACATAAGTTGTTTGCAGCTGCGTAAAAGTTTCTGAGTGACTTGAATACACATTCATCTTCCGTTTCTTAGTCTCCAGCCCCACTTTCTAGATGAAAGCGCCCCACTGCTTCTCTCTGTCCTCTGATAGGAGAGTAAGTAGGTTTGGTCCATCCATGTACAGTGGTGTAAGTTTTTCTCATGAATCTCATCAGGAAGTCTGGACTCAGAAGGTTAGGCACAAGGGATGACATGTTCCTAGCTTCTCCAGGTTTTTTGCATAAATCATTCAAGAGTTATGGGAGACACTCAAAAACCAAATGTACATGTCTGTGTAGTGTAGGAGTCAGATTTTTAGGGCAGAAGATGGTCTAAATAGGAAATACGGGAAGAAGACAAAAAAGAGAGGATGGATCAAGGCCTCCACTTTTTTTTCCCAGCCTTATTGAGGTATATTTGACAAATAAAATTGTCAGATATTTAAAGCTTAGAATGTGGTGATTTGATTTACATATACCTTGTGAAAGGATTCCTCCCATCGAATTAACACGTCGATCACCTCATATATTTACTTTTCTTTTTTTTTGCTAAGAACATTTGAGTTCTACTCTTAGCAAATTTCAGTTATACAATAATATTATCAACTATAGTCACGATGTTATATGTTAGGTCCTCAGACATTATTCTTCTTATAACTGAAAGTTTGTATCCTTTACCAACCACTCTTTATTTCCTGCACCACCTAGGCCCTGGCAACCACTTTTCTACTCTTTGTTTCTGTAGAGTTGGACTTTTTTTTTAGATTCCACACAGAAGTGAAACTGTGCGGTATCTGTCTGTCTGCTTAGTTCACTCAGCATAATCTCCTCCAGGTGCATCCACGTTCTCGCAGATGACAGGATTTCCCACTGTAACAAGAGGGCCCCCCCCAGGTTCTGTGTCACACCTCTTCGCCTGGTTCACAACCCTCTGAAAATACTTTGTGGGTTTTCTTTGCTTTTAGTACAAAAAGAAATTTCTAAACAGTTAACGCAAAAGAACATTTAGAAAACTAGTACATTATATTTACACAGACTGGGCAACCCAACAGTCATCAAATGAGCACTTCATGAAGCTTCACAAATCTCAGACAAACAGAACAGCTAGAGAGGAGCAGTGCTGGGGAGACAAGAGCCCAGCTCAGACACACCTCGCTGGTGCCGTCTGCTGCCTTTCCCTGCGTCAGCACAGCGGTCTAGTTTTGCAGTGATCTGACAGCATGTAAATGAAACCCTCTTTCTCCTTTAGCTGCTCTGCAGGACAGTCGCTCTGGGTGCAACATAAAAGCTCTAATTAAAGGGTCTCTAGGAGCCAAGCTGGAAAAGTCCAGAATTTTGAAAGGTTAAGGATTTTAGTTCATGCTTCATATATTCATTCCTGGGCAGCACAGATGTATCATTCTTAAAACCTTTGCTTATACCAGCTCAGAGTTTTAGACACACACACACACACACACACAAACTTGTGCGTGGTAGGCCTAGCCTAATCCAGTGAAGAATGGATCTGGTTGTGAAGCAAGTCCTGTGCCCTAGGATTGGAGGTTTGGAGTAAGAATCCTTTATTAGGGGCCGGCCCGGTGGCGCAGCAGTTAAGTTCGCACGTTCCGCTTCGGTGGCCCAGGGTTCGCTGGTTCAGATCCCGGGTGCGGACATGGCACTGCTTGGCACGCTGTGCTGTGGTAGGCATCCCACATGTAAAGTAGAGGAAAATGGGCACGGATGTGAGCTCAGGGCCAGTCTTCCTCAGCAAAAAGAGGAGGATTGGCAGCAGATGTTAGCTCAGGGCTAATCTTCCTCAAAAAAAAAAAAGACTCCTTTATTATGTAAACATACAACCATCATCTAACCTTGGCTTCCTCTGTAGGCCCTCCACCTGGCGCAGCCTCCAAGCTCTTTGCGCCAGCTGCTGCTTCATACTCATTTCCAACCTAGTAAAAGGAGATCAAGTCATCAGGGCAAACCAATTAAAACCAAGTCTCCCCTGAAACATCTTCAAGGTGAGAGAACTGTGGTAGAAAAGTAGTTCAATAGGCTCTACACCCCGAATAGACGACAGGTGGAAAAGGCCTACCCTACCCCGAGATATTCCCTCCCAGAGAAGGTAATGGCTTCTGGGTTGGGTCCTTTAATCTGGTCTCATGCTAGATATCCTTCTTTAAAAGGAAAACAACCTCCCTATCCAGGCCACTTTCAAAAGCTTGAGACTGTGGGAGTAGAGACTCAAGATGAAGCGTGCAGGTTCCAGGGGGATTCTCCATGACAGCTCTCGCTTGTGTCTGAACAGCACCGTTGGAGGTCTTTGCCTCACTCCTTCCCTCACCAACAGAGACTCTAGGGGGCTCCTGCTGTGGTCCTGGGCTAAGAATACGGCCCTGCTGGCTGCCCCTGTCCCCCATCTGTCCCGCCTTCTCCACTCTGCTGATTGATGCCTGTTCCTTGATATTTCCTAATTGCAAAAGCATACCCCCCCACCCACCATTGCTAAATCCTGTGCCTCTGGGAGTAGGGCAGGGCTGTGGATCCCTTCTTTCTCCCAAAAGTGGGCTGGCTTTCTCTGGGAGGTGGGGGCCTGCTAGGCCTTCAGTGGCTGAGGCCTCCATACGGCAGATGCTCTGGCGGAAGTGGCACTTCTTGGGCTGGTGTGGCATTCCTTGGCATGATGGTCTAGACCTCCACAGGTGTAGCACCAATCTCCTTGGCATCTCTGTTTCTGCATGTCCTTCTCCTCTGGCTGCCTCTCATTCCCAATACTGAATACTCCACCAGGTCTGGTGACATGGATTCCAGGCCCTTGGCCCACTTCTTAAAGGTGAACTCCACTGCCATGTGCTCCTCCAGGCCTCCATGTGAGGTAGGCATTATCATTCTAGTGATATGCTAGATGGGTGAGGAAGCTGAAGTGCAGAGTACAGAAGTGGTACCCACAATAGCACAACTGGGAAGTGGCAAAGCCATCCGATGAACCGAGGCTTCCTGACTCTGAGTCTAGTGTTCCTTCCATGTAACACAGCTATTTCTCCTGTAGTGTAATTGTTTAAATACTTTATGAGTCTTTATTCTCTTTGGAAAAATCTTATTTCTAGTACTGTTTGGTTCATATTATTTTTATAGTTGACTAAATTTATGAAATGTTTTTAAATATTGGGTCGATTCAATAGGAAAAAAGAAAATCTTTTAAATATCCATATGGAAAAAAATTAACCTGAATCCTTAACACACTTGACACATAAAACTTAATTCAAGAAGTATCATAGGCATAAGGTAAAAGCCAAAAGCATAAAGCTTCTGAAAGGAAACAAACGATCTTTGAGACCTTAAAGTAGGCAAAATTTCATACAACACAAAAAATACTAACCATAGAAGAAAAAGTTGATAAATTAGACTTCATCAAAATTAGAAATTTCTGCTCATCAAAAGACACCGTTAAGAAAATGAATAGGCAAGCCATGGATTGAAAAGAAAATATTTGTCATGCATATATCTGACAAAAGACTTGTGTCTAGAATATAAAAAAATAATAAGAAAGAATGCAATGTAATGTAATGCAAAAGAATGTAAAAAGTGTACAAAAACTTGAACCCTTTACAAAAAACATTTAAATGGACAATCAGCACATGAAAAATTGTTCAACATCATTCATCACTGGAAATAAAATTAAAACCACAAAGACGTACCATTCCCACCCACTAGAACAGCTACAAGCACCAGCAGATCAGAATGGCTTTACACCAACACCGCCACCACCAGGGTGACTAAGACACCAAAGGCTGGTGAGGACGCTGAGCAGCTGGAACTCTATTTATGGGAATTTAAAATGGTGCAAACACTTTGGAGAAGTTTAGCGTTTATTTTATATATAGAAAATAAATCTATATCCATCTTATAACCAAGCACTTCCCCTTCTAGGTTTTCCAAAGAAATAAAATCATACATTCTCAAAAAGACATGTACAAGAACGTTCTTAGCAACTTGACTCGTAATAGCCCCAAACTGGAAATAACCCAGCTGTCCTTCAACAGGAGAGTAGAAAAACCAATTTGGGTCTATTTATACAAAGACACACCACGAACAATAAAGAGCCCACTGCTTCCACACGTGACAATGAAGGTGACCTCAAAGGCAGGTAGATAGAACAAAAGAAGCCAGACACGAAAGTTAGGTACGTCGTTTGTGTATAGTTCAAGAGAGGGGAACGGTCTGTTGTTATGGGAATTAGAGAGCCGTGGCCTCTGGGCTGTGATGGGAATTGAACTGCGTACAGGGAGCCTGCTGGACAATTGAAATGTGCTGTGTCTTGGGTGGTGGTAGCATCAATCAAGTGCATACAATTGTCAGACCTCCTCAAGCTGAGCAGTTAAGACCTGTGTTTTTTATTGTATGTAAATTGTACTTCAATAGACAAAGAAAAATATATTTGAGGTAGAATTCACTTTGTATTCTGAAAAATATGAGACTGTGTGAAGGAATGATGGGAAACAGCCATGAAAATACTTCATTGAAAACTTTTTGAGGATTACAGTGCAAGAGGGTAACAGAATAGTAATATCTTTAATAGTAAAATTAATTATGGAACAGTTATGAGCACAAATAGAAACATCAGTTTATCAACTTTGTATGTGTGTGTATGTGAGGAAGATTGGTCCTGAGCTGTCTATGCCAATCTTCCTCTTTTTGCTTGAGGAAGATTGTCGCTGAGCTAACATCTGTGCCAATCTTCCTCTGTTTTGTATAATGGATGCCACCACAGCATGGCCTGGTAAGCGGCGTGTACGTCCACGCCAGGGATCTGAACCCGCGAACCCTGGGCCGCTGAAGTGGAGTACGTGAACTTAACCACTGTACCACAAGACCAGGCCCAGTATATGAGCTTTTTAGCCAATGTTTTATTCTTCCTGTTAAAATTTTTTTATCAAAGTAAAATTTATATATTGTGAAGTTCAGAGCTCTTGAGTGTACAGTTCAATGAGTTTTAACAGTGGATACCCCTCTGTATCAAGCACCCATCAAGAAAGAGAATATTTCCATCACCACAGATCTGATATGTTGGTCAGATTCTTTCCCTGCTATCCCCGTAAGATCACTGAGACAAGTGCAAAATGCTTGTGTTCTCCATAACTACCAGTAAAAATAACCACGAGGCCCAGCAGTGTTGGAACTGCTCAGAATGATCATTGCAGCAGCTGGTAAGAGGTTAGTTGATAGCGAGGACTCTCCTAGGAACCCTAGGCCCAAATTGTGAAAAGTCCCTGAGACAGCTAGTATTTAGAGTTTGCAGTGTAAATCCCATAATTAGTACTAGTAATGCATAATAATATCTTAGGTAAGCCATTCCAGAACCTCATTAATCAGCGTAAGGTTATAAAGAATCGTCTCCCTTCAGCTGCCCTAGTTTTTCTTCTGTATCTGGTTGTCCAGGTACCTCCAGCACCTGTGCTTTAAACATTTCGGTGATAGCATAGGCTAGTAGTTCATAATAATAGTAGCACATCCTTTATTTCCCATATTTCATCCTGATAGAACCCTTAGTTGGTACTTTCTAGACTGTTTATAATAGGCAAAAATCAATAAAATACAGGCACCCTTTTGGTCAAATACGCTTTTAAACAAGATGACTAAGCTACAGCTTGTGAAAGATATTGAAGGAGAACATCATATATATTTGAAATTATGAAGAGAACATTCATTTCTCTCTTTTTTATGCAGAAAAATCAATGCCTAAATTTTAGTTTTGCTAATGTACAAAGTTTGACCTTTTTACCTAAAGTACATAGCATCTGGGCTGATTATACATAGAATTTTGTTGGTTTTTTTAGTAGTGGTGTTAAATATCTCCAAGGAGTCCATTTCACAAGCAGTTGTAAGTTATTGTAGAAGCAGTCGTGACTTAGCTGATTTCTGTCTCCTTACGATTTGTTTGCTTCCGGAATTCTTCGTCTTCTCCAGCCAAATCTGCCCTGCTCGCCCTTCTTCCTGTCTCCTGAAGACTCTGGCGGGGAAGTGCTCCTCCTTGCTGAGCGGAGAGAGTGTCGCCTTCTCAGCAGTTCAGGCCTCTGACTCTCCCTGTGGTGGGAGACCATAAGCAGGAAAGGCCCTTCAGTGTCTGGGGATGGCAGAGAGGAAGTTCTTGGATGGATTCCAGGATCGCTCTTAAGCATCTTCAGGATTTAAAAATTAGAGGACCTTGGTAAAACTTCGAGGGGGAAAATAACTTAGAGAAGTAAGATTATGCCTTGTGTGTATCAGTAGGCAGATATATAGAAATGCGTTATTTACTGAAGAATATTTAGTGGAATAGTAAGGAAAGGTAGATTTTCATTTTTCCCTCTATGGATAGTCATTGTAGTCAGACATTTTTCCTTTTAACCAACACAGATGACCAAAAAAAGAAAGCGAAAGAGAAGCTTCAGTATTTTTAAGGTGAGGGGAAAAAAAAATACACACGCACACACACAGGCATGCACACAAAGACTTATTTTATGAAAGCTAGAAAATTGTTTTCAAGGAGAAATATATGATCTACAGTTGCAATGTTTAGATATGTGGCAATTGGAAAAAATAATTTTTTGGTGAAAATAGGAAAACAGATTGACATAAATGTACATTAGGGTAGTGACTTTCATTTCTTCTACATACACAGTAAAATAGTTCTGGGCAATAAATTCTTGGAAAAGTAGGGTAGGATTGGATAAATGTCATAGTTTATGACTGAATACGTATAAACAGGTGAGAACTCAAGATGGAGAGGTAATAATAACCACCTGATAAAGAGACTTAAGACCCTTTCACCCTACAAAAAGGACTGCTTTAGAGTTATAACTTGATATTATAGTTTGATTTTTTTAAAAAGATATTGGTTACATTTCTGGCTACTGTGGATACATAAAATAAAGAATGGAATGCCTTTTGTTCCTCCAATACAAAGAAGTATTTATCACTTAAAATCTTAACTGTAAAAAAAAAATTGATGCTATAGATTCTGGAACTAATACCAAGATTATTGAAAAAGGTGACACAGCCACTATTTCTGCCATAGTGTCTTAGAAATAAAGGATAGTTGACAATGGAGAATTATGTAACTATTTCAAGTCAGCTCCCAAGCTCAAGTTTAATTCTGCAGTGTTGGCAACATATTGTGAGCCTTCGGACCTTTCCATTATCCTCTATGTCCGCCCGGTGCTGTCTGTTTCACCTTCAGAGTTCGGGTTTTCATACCTTTTATTTATATCCGTGTACACTTTAGTAGCAAGTGCTGGGTGGTTAGTAAGCATTATAGAAAACAAATTTAATGGGAATTCAGAAGAGCAAGCAATTAATAGTGTGACAAGGGGTGTTGGAGGAAGTGGATCATGAAGGGGGACCTAAACCGAAGAGAGACTGGATGAGAAGGAGGGCATTCCAGATTGGCTCAGAGCAAGCCGAGGCCCCGTGGGCACAGCCGAAGTGCCTGGGCTGCAAGTGCCATTTGACACTGGCTGAGTGCGCTCACGAGCACGCGGGTGTGTTCTGAGTAGAGGGGCTTGGCCACGTTTACCAGACTGTTCCTTTTAAGTCATTTATTCATCACACATTTTTGAGTTCTAGCGTACAAAGATGAAGAAATGATATTTATTTTCAGGAACTCAAATTCTTATGGGGCAGGCAGAAATGAAAAAAAATTTTAAAATTTGCTGACTCCAGTGAGAGATCTGCACGAGGTCCGTGGGAAGACAGAAGGCGGCGAAGAAGACCTGAGCAGGACAGGCCACATTCTCAGAGCCCTGTGTCGCACACACTGTTTGAACGTTGTTGACTGTCGTTAAGACAAGATGCTATGTCAGAGCAACTTTGTGAAGGTGTAGGACGGCCCTGATCCTTCCTAGGATTTCCTAGTGGGTCTTAGTAAGAGACACATCTGAGAGTTCCCCTGGCCTAGCCCCATAATTCTCCTTCAGGCTCAGCTGACAGCGAAAGTCAGGATGTAATTGGGAGAGTCGGCTGTCTCTAACTTGTTTGGAAATACCATCTTAGAAGGTAGCAACCCTTTAATGTTAAAACTTCATAAAATCAAATTGAAGCGCCCTAATTAGTGAGAGACCTGAAATATCTACATAATTTGAAAGACCAGTGTTCACTTTAAAGGTGATAATTGAGTATATTTAAAATCTGAAAAGGAAAAGAATTGTTTGAATTTTGCGAATTTTCAAAGGTATTTTCAAAGATCTATAACTAAACATAAGTATTTTTGTCCCAAATTAATATTTATTTCCAGTCATTTGATCCTTCAGAAATCACCAGGAAGAATGTTACAGCTTATTCTCCAACAACTGGAACTTGTCAAATGAGCCCATTTGCCTCTCCCACAAGCTCTAAAGAAGGAGAGCACGAAAGTGGACCATCAAATGGTTAGTTGAACACTCTTTTCCACTTAGTCGAAGATTTTTCCAGTTATTGGTTAAATCAGAATTTTCATATAACAATATATGGATCTTGCTGCAGCTGGTTTTTCTCTTCTTTCATAAAGAATTCAACGTAAGAAAGGCTAGAATATAGGTGTTACTTTGGACATAAATGTAAACTTTCTAGGCACTTATTTTAAAATGCTACTGTAGACTTTGTTCTCTTACTGTCCCATCCATTAAATAGAAATTATGGGCTGACTGCCTTCAGCTACTATCAATTATCATGGTTACAGATACGCCCCTTAACAAGCTATCCATCCTGTGCGTAAGTTAAAGGGCGCATAATTCCGGTGCTGCTGCACTACGGCTGAAGACTGATGCTTCTCACTGTTATTTTTATCCATGTTGTCCACTTAGTTTTATCCACAGTTCGTGTATCTTTATGTAGCTTGCTTTTATTATGTTTCATTCCCTTCTTTTCCTTTACTACTTTAAATGCATTTGCAAAAGGTTTGTAGAATTTTCCATTAGAGAATAACCTAATTTTGATATGAAATTCTTTACTTCAAAATATTGTTAGTTTAATTTTGACCATATGTATTTCTTGTTCTCTGGTAGTTTATTGCTAAAATATTTGTTTAGAGATACAGAAATCTAGATTTCGTAAGTTTAATTTTTAATGTTCGAAAAGGTCATGAATTAGTGACATGTCAAGTTTCTATAATATAAAATTTTGAGTAGGCTCAAATTTAATAAAATATATTTTAGATACGCTCTGATTAGCCTAATTCATCTTTTATTGTTTAACATTTACTGAGTGCTAAGCATATATAGAAGCTACACAGAAACAAAGAAGTCTTCTCATTTTACCTAATTTGTCATAATAAAACCCATAATGAGATCTTAAACTTTTGAATGACTTTTATTTTACTTTAATCAAATGCTTTTTATCTTAAAGCTGTTCCTCCTAGGTTTGCTTTCACAAAAATGTATGAAGATGTATACATTTTTTTCAAGCTCTATAGTTCTGTTTTTTGTACGCTTGATATATCTTTTGTTTAAAATTAAAAATTAGTGCCTTAGAGTTGGCACATCTCTATACTGAAATGTGAATAGATTTTAAGTGGATACGCACTCAATTTCCATATTGAAATTAAATATGGACTTAAGGGAACATTCCTTTTGCCCATAAAAAGGTTGGTCAAGTGATCTCAGTTGACATTTAAGTGGATAATTATCACAGATTATAATACTAAGTAAGCTCTTTTTTAAAAAGCCATATAGCAAGCATTCCTGGGGTACTGGTAATGTTCTATTTCTTAACCTATATGGTTAAGATAGAAAAAGAACAATAGAATGAACCCCAAAAAGTAGAAGAAAGGAAGTAGTAAACAATATAAACAGATATTATTAAGTAGAAAACAAAGCACTAATGAAGAAAAGCAGCAAAATTAAAATCAGTTTTTTTGAAAAGACTCATCAAATAGTGGACCTCTGGCAAGGCTGGTCATTTTTTTAAGTTAGAGAAGGAACAGATGTGTGCTTGAGGGCTGTGGATTCTATATGGTCTTCTTCTTGCTAGATTGTGTGTAACACACAGTTGTGTATGTGACTGCCTCTGAATGCAGTTTCACAAAACACTGGTGATCAATGTCCCATCCCGGAATCTGGACTGCATTTTAAATGGTGTTTGGATTTTCTGGTAAGGCTCCAGGGAGCGCTTTCTCTACCTAATGAGGATGGCTTTCAACAGATCATAAGATTTAGAAGTACAGTCAAGGATGAGGATGATAATGGCTAACGTTTATGTAGTATTTTTAGGGCCAGACACTGTTTTAAATGTTATGTTAACTAAATAATCTGCATGACTCGGAGATAGTCTTATTCCCATTTTGCAGATGAAGAAGTAGAGGTGCCGAATGGTTACATAATTTTCCAGGGCCCTAAAGCTAGTCAGTGGCAGAATCAGGATCTAAACCCAGCCACCTGGCTGCAAAGACTGTGCTCTTGCCCATGATGCCATGCTTACTTATTAATAGATTACTCTAAAGTTCAGACGGGGTGAGGCTGGTCTCATGCTGCTTCCAGATACAGAACTTCACACTTGGCACACATCTCGGGCAGCACTTGGTCCCAAACCAAAAGTTAGGAGTTGAGGAAAACCTTGACCCAGAGAGGTCAAGTGGTTTGTCTAAGGTGCCACACACTAGTTAGTAACTTCTTCTAAGAGTGACGCCAGATCAAGTTGGAGCCTGTGTAGGCTAAGAGGCAGATGGGGTCCTGTTACTCTTTCAGTTAACCGAATTAATGTTATTAAACAAGAGTGGGGAGTGAAGAGCCTCTTCAGAGAATCAGTTCATGAAAAATAGCAATGTTAATGGTTCTTTGTTTCTAATTCCAAATATCTTTATTGAGTCCCATGGAAGGAAATATAATATTCTTAAAATATTACCTGTTATTGAATATAAAGGTATCACTGAGAAAATTGGAATTGCTTTTTATCTACCAGAACATTAATATTTGAGAAGCAGCAGCAGAACAATAAGTTTTAAAATCTTTCACCCAAATTAGATTGTGGACCACATTAAGAAGCATTTGGCTCACATATCTCAAATTGCTCATCATATATTTAAAATGATAGTAGTTTATCAGCTCTCTTGACATACATATCATCTGTTCCTTCTCCTGCGTAAAAGAAAATCAGTCTTGCCAGAGGCCTAGTTATGATACAATATTTTTGAGAGAAGGCGTAAGGTCCAAAGTAACAGTGAGGGAAATTATTGTTAATTAGTTTCTGAATCAACTTACTTGGTAAACTTCTAAATACCAGAGAATAAAAAATATACTTTAGATAAGCTATTCCCCTAGTAATAGGAGCGAGTAAGAGTAATGGAATAAAAATTAAATGAAGAAAAAAATGTAAACTAGCATTGGAAAGTCTGTTCCAGACAACGTATTTCTTAATATGTTAATAAATGACATTTGGAAACTTAAAGGAGTTGCCCTCGTGTTATCTGTGTATCTGGTCTCGTCTGGAAGCGTTGGCTCCTGCTGCAGTGTTGTCCAGAGCTGCGCTGCCCCTGTGTGTGGATGCTGGGCGTGTGGAGCGCAGCTCTCTGAGTGGGGGAGTGCTGTGAGCGTAAAGACACACTAGATACCAAAGACAGTGTGAAAAAGGATTTGAGTTCTCTCATTAATAATTTTATTTTGATTCTATGTTAAAATTATAATATTTTGGGTGTATTGGGTTAAATGAAATATTAAAATTTATTTAATCTGTTACTTTTTAAAAAAATTTTGCTAGTAGATTTTAAATTACGTAAGTGGCTCACGTTATATTTCTGTTGGACAGGGTGAGATATTTTTTCATGGTACATTGTATCAAACAATTTTTTAGAAAAATAATAAGAACATTGAGTAAATAATAGTTTCTGTTCCAGTTGTTGAACAGGTGGAATTACATAAAAATATGTAGTGCGAGGAGGGTGTCACTGTGTATACAAAGTGATAAAAAGTGATTTGACTATTTTTCATTAGTAGTAAAGAGTTCAGATTATTCATTCATTTGCTTGTTTATTCATTCAATAAACATTTATCAAAGGCCAGTATGTGTAAGACCCTGAGAATCTTTATGTTAATATGTCCTCAGATTCTTGTTTGAAGTATCTAGGTGTGTAGTGCTATAAAGTAACGTAGAACAAAGAGCTGAGTGGTCAGCTCATAGAACAGCTGTCTACTTGCCCACTAAGTGCAGACCTCGTGTTCTGCTAGAGCCATATGGTCAGACTTACGTTTCGACCCAGCACACCGTGGAGGGATTGTAACTTAGTTACATCCATGTTTTCATCTGTGCTTCTGTCAACTTGCAAAAACTTAGAGAAGTGATGGCATCAGATAACTACACAGCCTTTTAAATGGATGGAATGTAATCACTTATTTCTTTATTGTTACCTAAATAAATACTAAAATGAAATATTTTAGTAGGCACTAAAGATCTTTCAAGAATTTAATCAATGTGCATTTAAAGAGTCGGGTACTTTTACCCCTAAAATCAAATTTATTTATTTTACTGTGATGTCAGTAGGACCTTACTATTTTCTAGACGTGAGTATCACCAATCCCTTGTTAACTTTGAGACCAAAAATAGGGGTGAAATAATGCAAACTGGAAACTTTAATGTGATATTTTTGATTAAAATACTTGATAGAAATATTCTTTATCTAGTAAAGTTTACTAATGTATTTTAAGCTAATTATATTATCAAATTGGGTTGTTCTTGTTTTCTCTTTAGTATACCAAGCCCCAGTGGAAATTTTATTCAGAAGATTGTTTTTTCTGTGTAATGTCATCATGAGTAAAAAATTGGGAGGATCGAAAATAAAAAAACCAAAATAGCTATTGGAAAGTTATTCATAATAGTGAAAAATTTTTCCCATAGCAAATCTCAGGATACTTTTTCTTTTCCTACTTCCCCTTCATTTGTCTTCCCTTTTATTTTCTATGTAAAATTTGGTGATCTAAATTCTGTTTAAAACTTGACAGTTTTCCCTTAACTTTATGTTCTTCTTTTTATTCCACATGTGTAGGAAAGAGAAAAAAATTGAATTGCCTCAGTTTAACCCAAAGAAAGGAAGCTACAACAAAAGACAGTGATGAGTAAGTTTGTTGTTTTTGAAATAATCTGCACGTGTTTTGAAAGAAAAGGGTCATATGTGTTAAAGTGATAATTTAAGAGGAATCATTTCTTTGCAGAATGTAATAAATAGTTTATACCTGAGTTGAAGTATTCTTTCTTAAAGACGTAGAATACTTTATTTGTGATGTGTTTTGCAGTGTTCATACGATGGTGATATATAAAACCTTAATTTTAATAGTCATAACAGACTAGCCTAGGGTAAAAGTGAGGCACACGCCCTTTCCAGATTTACGTGGATGGAGATGGAGTACATTGCCTGGGGACAAAGTGCTTAACAAATAGCGGATTCAAGAGCTAGAACACAGTGGAGCCAGCAGAGTCAGGGATCTGGAGGACCCTGGAAGGCTTACCTGCCAGCAGTCAGCCTTTTCACAGTGGCCTGCCAGTGGTGCCTTGAATGGAGCCATTATCTGCAGAAAGCTACTGCCTGTGTATTCTGGAAAGAAGATGTATATCTCTCCACTGAGGCTGGGCAAAATTAAATTAAGCAGAACAGGGGGTTAAATTTTCGAAGTAGTTCATTTGTTCAGCTCATTTCCTTTTGGCTGTGTGTGCCACAAGTGTGATGGACGGGTAAAGATGAGGAAAACGAAGTTTCTGCCCACTGGGAGCTTGGGGTCTTATGTTGTAAGTTAGTAATCCTTCCCCAACTTAGAAACGAGTTATAGGTTATGTTTCAAAATGTTTTTAAATCTCTTGAGTAGAACTCAGGATGCGTTTTCCATGCAAGTAGTGTAATTTGTGCCTATAACCCCAGGTCAGGGCCACAAGTCTATTTTTTTCATCATGTAGCTGAACTATAGTATTAATGAGTTGTAGTCTAGATTAAAAGATATGGAAGGTGGTGCCAGAGTACAGTAGGGACAAAGGGAGGCATTTCTCCAAGAAGCCTCCTTGCTAGGCATCTCCTCCATCTATCACGTCCCCTTTGTCTGCTTTTTTTTTTTTTTAATAAGATTTTATTTTTTCCTTTTTCTCCCCAAAGCCCGCCGGTACATAGTTGTATATTCTTTGTTGTGGGTCCTTCTAGTTGTGGCTTGTGGGATGCTGCCTCAGTGTGGTTTGATGAGCAGTGCCATGTCCGCGCCCAGGATTCGAACCAACGAAACACTGGGCCGCCTGCAGCGGAGCGCGCGAACTTAACCACTCGGCCACGGGGCCAGCCCCCTTCCTTGTCTGCTTTTTGCAGCTGCTTCCCCTAGCCGTGCTCCCCGACCCCACATAACTTCATGTGTCCTGGCCCACAAATATTTTTATTGTAAATTACTGCGCCTTCCTCCTTCCTGTAATCAAAGTTCCCATTTCCTCAGGGAAGCCAATCTCGGCTAGAATTTAAGAGGAAACCATTTTTTTGTGTGTTTAAATTATTTAATATATTTTAAAATAGGCAATATATGTACATAGTAAAAAAACTCAAATTGTACAAAAGGACATATAGTGAAAGCAAGTGGCGAGTGACAATTTTTGAATCATATATAATCTTACATTTGAACGCAGATAATCTGCTAAACCAAATGAATTTCTGCCACGTTTATAAGATACAACAAAGCTGAGAGGCAGGGGCAGGCAGTGCAGGAGCAGGTGGTTCTGGACAGCAGCCACACCGTGGAAGCGGCAGAGCTTGCTATTGCTGTCCCCTGGAATCAGCTCTGCGTCCGCAGTTCTGGCCTTTCTTCGCTTCAGCCCTTCTTTCTTCTTCTTAACCCACCAACTTGCTCACAGCTCCAGGTTTTTAGCGACAGCTCCTGGAGCAGGGAGCTTTCTAGTAACAAGGGAGGCCCAAGAACCTTGGCTGTAGGTCACTTAGGAATTTACTGTATTTATTTAATTCCTCTTACCATTTGTTTCTAAAGATCCCTGTTATTTATGCATATCACTCCATGACTTGATATTACAATTAGTGAATTTAAGTACAAGCCAAGATATTTTACAGTATATAAAAATTGTGTTTCTGATTGTTTTTTCCATTCATTATTAAACTACTCAGTCCTAGTAAATAGAACTATTTTATTAGCTTCAGTAATGGATTCTTCATTTATTTATTCCATTTGTTTAGATTTCTTTTATTATTTTATGAAATCATTCTCAACCTTTGGATTTTTAAAATCTGAAATTAAACTGAATGTTGCACATTTTTAAATCAATTTTAAATGATTATAACATTTTATGTTTTGTTCTCACAATTGTATAGGTTAGGGTTCTCCAGAGAAACAGAACCAATAGCAGATACATATATGTAATATAATATTTGATGATAAAATTTGTTACTGATGTAGTAATTATTACTAATAATGGATTAATAATGAATTGTATATATAATTACATATAGAGAGATTTATTCTGAGGAATTGGCTCATGTAATTATGGAGGCTAAGTCCCACGGTCTACTGTGTGCAAGCTGGAGCCCAGGAAAGCCAGGAGAATAATTCCAGAGGAGCCATGGTGTAAATTCCAGTCCAAGGGCAGGAGAGCAACATCCCAGCTCCACCAGGCATCCCTCAAGCTAGTCTTCCTTTTAGCCGCTTTTTGTTCTATTCAGACCTCAATGGATTGGATGGTGCCCACCTACATTGGGGAGGGCAGTCTATTTTACTGAATTATTACTAAGATGGTTGCACAGTGGTGATTTTCTAACTCCATAGTTCCTTCTATTAGTTGGCTCTTTTTTTCTTTTTTTTTTTTTTGGTGAGAAAGAGTGTCGCTGAGCTAACATCTTTTACCAGTCTTCTTCTATTTTGTATGTGGGAAGCCACCACAGCATAGCTTGATGAGCGGTGTGTAAGTCCACACCTGGGATCCAAACCTGTAACCCCCAAGCTGCTGAAGCAGAGCATGTGAACTTAACCACTGTGCCACAGTGCCTGCCCCCTAGTTGACTTTAAGTTCCTGAGTTCATAGTGATAGAAGGTTTTTCCTTGCCTTCCCCCTTTCCATATTTGCACCCCTTCTCAAACAGTAGATGTCCGGCTCCTAACAGCAGTAAGATATTTGCACATTTGCTTAACCCTACAACCTACACAAAATAGTTTCAGAACGTCTGCTCTCACAGCACTGCTAAAACCAAACCTGCAGAGCGTTTAGGGTTGTGTGCAGTCTGTCTGTCTTTAGTTTGAAGGGACATAGTCAAGTTACCATGTTCAGAACTACTTGGACTCATTCTTCATTTGAGGAATTAGTTATTCATTAGAAGTAGTTAAGCTCTCTTGTTTCTGTTTGAATTCAATTTTAAATTTTTTCTCTCTTCCTTTTTGATTTAATAATATTTTTGACTATGTAAAACATTAATCTGATTCTAAAGGTCAAAACTTAAGAAAAAATGTATACTCAGAGAAGTATTACTCCCTGTATGTAACCAAATTCATTTATTTTTGATTTACCTTTCCTGTGTTTATTTTTATGAAATTAAGCCATTTCACTTATTTTTTCCAATTTCTCTTCTTATACAAAGATGGCATACGATGTGTACTCTTTTACACTTTTCTTTTTTCACTTATGAGTGTGTCCTGGAATCACTCCCTATTAATCGCCTCGGCAAGTTTTAAATGTAAGAATTCTACCAACAGGAAAATATGGTTCCGTGTTCTAGGTTAAATTTTTTTTCCCCAGAAAACAAGCAGTTAGTGACATGTCAGTAAAGCTCATTTATAAACAAACACCTACACATTAATATTTTATGTGAACTTCCATATCCTTTATTCTCTGAAAGGAAAATATGTTATATAATTCACTGCCATTGGCTTCTCTTTGTCTTGGCAAGTTGCTGCTGTTGCTGGCACTGCGATGAAAATGCAGTAATGGTGACTGTCCTTCTGTAAGGTTTATTTTCATTAAACTTTTTATTTTCAGATAATCATAGATTCACATGCCATTCTGACAAGTAAAACAGACGGATCATGTGTACGCTTTTCCCATTTTCCTGACATGATAACATCTCGCAAAACTGTAGTACTATCAACCAGGAAATCGGCATTGACGCGATCCACAGATTTTATTCAGATTTGCTAAGTTTTGCATGTACTCATTTATATGTGTGTGTATGCATTTAGTTCTGTGCAGCGTTATCTCCTGTGTAGTTCATGTATCTGCCATCACAGTGAAGGTACAGAACAGTCTCATCACCACAAGGATCCCCCGTGTTGTGTAAAGTTTATTTTTAATCACTGGTTTATTCTCTTGTAGGCAGAAGAGTAACTTTCTTAGATTTTTTTTATTTCTATGATAATCCAAATGAAACCTTTTTAATAGTAATGAGTTATGACAACTGGGTTTTGTTTTTTGTTTTTTATATATACAATTTGATTGTGACAACCACTGTTCAGAATTATGAGTTTCCCTTTACTGTATTTTAAGTATTCAATCATGCAGCAAGAATAGTGACCTATGGATCACTTTCTGCTTGGATGAGGGTCTCTGGGGGTGAGTTAGTTGAAAATGTTTATCAGAAACTTAGGATGAAGATAGTTATGCCTGTGTTCTGTATGTGAGCAGAGACTAAGAGGGAAACTAATATTTATGAGAGACTTATTTTCAACTGTTGAAAATTTTTGATGTGGAAGAATGAAAACTTTCCCTCAAATATCAGTAACAAGACAGGTGTGCCCACTTTCACTGCTGGTAATCAACATTTTATTGGAAATTCTAGCCAGGGCAGTTAGACAGGAAAAAGAAATAAAAGGCATCCAATTTAAAGGAAATAAAACTCTCTCTATTTGCATATGACATGATCCTACATAGAAAATCCTGAAAAACACACAAGAAGCTGCTAGAGTTAATAAAGTCAGCAAAATTGCAGAGTACAAGATCAACACACAAAAATCAGTTGTGTTTCTATACACCTGCAATGAACACTTTAAAAAGAAAATTAAGGAAGCAATTCCATTTATAGTAGCATCTAAAAGAATAAAATAGCTGCATATAAATTTAACTAAAGAGGTAAAAGACTTGTACACGAAACTGCAAA